TAAACACATTTTCTATGATATTTATCCACAAGAACCACTGATCAGTCTGCGCTCTGTTTGGAGAGGATCACCTGATACCAAAAATTTACTGAGTTTTCTGGCATTGCTCACCCTGTTTGGCATTGCAAAGTGCTGTGCCCTCCAGACTAAGAGCGTCAATTCGGGCAAATTATTGGTGGCCTGTGCTGAGTGTCGGTCCTCCTAGCGCCCTCCCCCCCCCCCTCCTCCATATATGTTTTTTGGTGGATTTGGTGCGCTTCATTTTGACCAGCGTCATTTTTTGTTTTGTATCTTTGCACCCTTCATCCTATAGTCTTGTCTTTCAGAACTGTAATAGCTATTGCGGCCAAGTGATGCCCAATGCAGCTTATCTTTGTGTGATATTCATATTTTACCCCAACATGTGTAATACTGCAGCAGCAATAATGGATGGGCAAGCCAACATTCACTAGCGTATATCGACATTGAGAAAATGGGACAGTAACCCTGCACAAAATAGTGAAAATTGACATGCCAATTCCAAAACTGCAACTGCCCCATGCAGCTGCCTGCTGTCCAAAACACGCACTCCACAATGGTCATGTGCTCGGTACTAAAATTTGTAGTTCGACATCATTATAAAGCATCTCCGTGATTGATGCTACACCGTATGCTTGAACAATGGTGTCGCTCAGAATACAGGGCTAACAATTTCATTATGGCAGTATAAAAAGTTGTATTATCCCAGGAATGATTTCAGCATTCTAGCACATGCAGCAGTAAAATTTTGGCTCAATTATTGTAATACTTTGGACCGATACCTTGGATACTTTGTTCATTTGTAGCCATTATTCTGAGCATGACACCTAATTCGCGACAGCATAATATGATTATATCAACCCAATTTCTTTGTAACAACTGTAGCAAATGTTAAGTGGAAGATGCCCCTGTCCACGCAGGGCACAGCCGGCTTTGGACGGCCACCATTGCGATGGGTTCCATACGTCAGACACACTAAAGCTATGCGCCCTCTGCCTGGGTGGCTGGATTGCTGATGTGGAATCCAACGGGTGACTCCCGGTGACGTCATTGTGGGCAGGTGCAGCGCCACGAATTTCCTGAGGTCTCTTGGACAAAATGGGCTCTCTTCACAGAGAGGCCTCCTGGGTGGTGCCATATTCCAGGGAGGTGGGCAATGAGTGCATGACTCCTCTTATCAGACTGCTACATGTATCATATCCAAGTACCTAAGTCTCCATAATTACCAAATTTACAAATAGAGCAATGCTGATCTGATCTCACTGATCATGCTCCCTAGTCAAACTTTTGACACTTATTCGGATTCAACAATCAAAACAATCTCATAGGTTTTGGTCACCGAGATATTCTGAAAGTCAAATAAGATCATTGACCTGGAACGAACGCCAGTGACCTTTTGCTTAGAAGAGGAATGTCGGTTTAAGGTGGATGCATGAGGAGGTTTGAGGGTGTTCCGGACACGGACTTGGAAGTTGGCCTTGTTTGACATTATTTGGCCCGAGGTTATGGTCCAGGTGTTTTTGAACTGCACACCACTGAGTTTACATATTGACCTATCTACACGGAGCATTGTAGGTCAAGCTCTAATGATTTTTGAGATCTCAGGGTGGTCAAATTGACCACGCTCCACTCATCCTAAAGGAGCGCCCACTAAGCCAGCTGCTCGGGCGCGTTTGCTTAAAATTTGGTGGTCGTCCTCACTAAAAGACCTAAACATAAAGAAAGACTTGAACCTAAGGCTTAGAATCCTTTAGTCTCTGAGCTATAAACCCGCAAAGATAAGCATACTTTTTCGTGCATACTATTTTAGGGGTACCCAAGCATCCATTTTGTCATAATAACGGCATCCAAATCCTGCCATTTTACTGGCTATACGGTGTTCAAGGTCAGGAAAGATATAACTATCGAGTCGTCCATATTTGGCGTTGGTGAGCACCGTTTCCAGATGTGTAACGCCCGTCAGTTGGCTCGCAATCAATGTTGTGCAAGTTATGCAATATTCTGACACGAATTACGTTTTATGACACATGAAATAAAAAGTTATGCACTCCTCTTAATTATCATGAAAATAAGACTGGAAATGAAATGGTTTAAGAATAGCACCATGACCGCACATATGAACATGAGTAGGCTCCTTACACTCACAGCTAGCTTTGCAAGAATACCTATAGAAAGGACCAAAACACAAGAACCTAATGCAATTTGGCTCAGCACACATCCAGCACCACCGCGGGCCACCTCTCGGGAGCCACAAGTGAGTGCTGTCATACAAATGCTCCATGATGCAATCAAATAATGACGCACTGATGTGCACATTTACAAAATAGAGAAATTTTGCTGTCTTGGGCATTCTTTTCCACTTCAAAAGTTTCCACAATAGTTAGACGTGAGCTTACTTCATCACATGTGATGCTTGCCACAATACCTTGAAATGTGGAACAGTCCATTGGATGGAGTTTTAGAGTGACACTTCTTCAAGCGTTGTCAATGGTATCCTGACTCTTTTGAACAGTGTCACGTTTTCCATGACTCCACTGTGACCCTTGTGTGGCATCATAGGACACTCGCATGAGAGTTTGTTGGTGTAATGAAACAATCCGATAGGTGTCTTCTCAAGGGTCAAAAAGGGACTTTCCAAAAACTCCGGGATCAAAGGGATTGCACAGCACCTTTTTAGAGTTAGCAACGGTTAGGGGATAAAAACAGACAAAAGACTCTCTAAATATGTTTTTTTTCCAGAATCATTCTGACGCGCTTTGCTAAAGGATTTACTCTCAGAGAAGCTCCCTGGGGAGTACATGTCCCTCAGTGTATGGTGGGACATAGTTGTGTATGCTTCTGGTTACTTTTGTTTTTCGGTTAAATCCTGGCAAGCCTATTTAAATAAATGATTACGTAAATTACATCTAGTTTTAAAAGTGCAACAGTTAACGTCAGCTGCCAAATACATGCATTTTTGTTCGCATCTTAAGCCAGTATTTGATCTGAGTCGGAAAATCAGAAGCAATCAGTTTGTACTTGAAAGGCTCCCGTTTTATGAAACGCATTCACTTCTTAAGTTTACTTATTTACAAGCCATCCTCGTCGCACCTTCTCTAAATATCAGTCCTAGAAAACAGCACACATGTGCAATGAACACGTTTGGCAAGACCAAACGAGAAACTGGGTTTAAACGAAAGTTTTGAAGAGTGTTTGGTGGAAATGGAAAGACCTTGAACGTTTTCTGTGTTGCTGAGTGTGCAATTGACTTTTACATGGCATATATGTAAAAATACCGAACATCGTGGTCTCATGTTATATATGTTAAGGGATGTCTAATTTTCACTTTTGATGCAAAATATAGGGGGTTTTCCCGAAACCCATTTTCCTTCGTTTGTGAGGGATATTTTTGCTCGACCAGACACATCTGCGTTTGGAAGCGCACTTCATAAGCGGTATCCATAGTCGAAAGCCGCCATAACTATATGCACGTGAACACAAATATAAAAATGTGCGTAGATTCTCTAAAATTTGAAGAGAGTGCCTGCACGGAACCGCCCAAATATCCAAATGCACACACCGCACCAAAAGTTTTGCTATAGCACGGGCTCTGACACGGCGCTCCACTGGCACCATTAGCACTGCTGGCCCCGGTGCGAGCGTCCCTCAACGCCAGTCGGCAGCAGTTCTGCAGTCATTACGCACGTCCTTCCCCTCCTTTCAGGTAATAACACCGAGCGAATGGTTCACCATTCACCGTTTAGCATACAACAATAGGCGAGCCGGTATCAGCGGTGGGACGCGGATAAGCGCGATCACTGCGCACGCAAGCAGCAGTTAGGGACCATTTCACAGATCGTTCGCCAGTCCAGGATGCACCGGGTCTTGAGGGCGTTTTAAAGGGCGGAAGTCCTTTCCGGCCCCCGTTTGCGGTGTGAAACATCGTTGAGCCGCGCAAGCGATCGACCCGGTGACAAATCGGCGGGCTGGCCACACTCAAATGGCCCCCGGCACGAGACCGGGACTGATTCAGGGTCTGCTGGCGTGAAACGCCGTGCACGGGAACCCGGTAGAGGCCAGACTGCTGACTGGAGCACAGGAAGGTGATGCCCTGTTATTTGCCGTTAAAGCAGGATCAAGATGGGATGGTACAAGGTGTGGACAGCTGGTGGATTGTGAGGGGGGGACAGGGCACACCAACTGGACTCGGGCCAGTCTGAAGCTCCGGGACTGTGGTTTCATGTCGACATTAGTGCTTTTCGCAGACCCGGACAGCTAATCCGCGTGGTCCGACTGGACCTGATAAATTTGCTGTTCGTGACCTAGAGCCACCAAGGCCATGCACAATAAAGTGTGTGTATGGTGGACATATCGTGCAGAAGTAATTGTGTTTGTCCTCGTGAGGAATTAGTGAACCTGTGGTTAATGTTGTAATCGTCCTACGTTCCTTTTGCCGAACCCTCTATGGATGATTGTAGCGATCGTAATCAGTGGGAACACGGCACGGACGCCTCAGAGTGCCTGGGAAAATTTTCCAGTCAGACTGAGCTCTAGCATGAGCTACAGCAGCAGCAACAGCAGCTTGTCACGCGGCTCTGACGAGCTGGCTACTGACGCGATCAACCAAAATCACGCGTTTATGCAAAACAGCGAAACCGGGCGCCGGCGCGACGAGCCGGAGTGACGACTCTCCGAGCGGCGCTGTGCCCTTCGCGGCGGCGGCGGCGGCGGCGGCGGTGGCGCCTTCGACTGGCGGAGATGGCCCATCATTCGGCCGGCAATGATCCGTGGCTCCCGCCGGCCAGGGGTCCCAGCGTCAATATGTTACAAGGGCGCCGGCCGCCCGCGCCGGCCCATTGGTGCAGCCGGCCGCCAGAGGCGGCCCCCCGCGTAATTACGCTCTCATTAGACGCGGATTGGTCGAGCGCGGCGCCGACGCCACGCCCACCGGGACGGCCCGAGTTTGCCTCGGCTATCTGCCACTTCCGCGCCCATTTCCTCTGGGTAATGAAAGAAGTGGACTTAAGCACACAAGTTGGACGTTACGAATTTATGTTATTCAATTATTGGTTTCGAGCTTTGGTCGCCGCCTATTTGCGTTGAAATACGAGCGACCATTGCGTCTGCCGGTTGGACGGCTAACTGCGCGACGCCAGCCAGTAACGACGCGGCTCTCCGTCGACGAGCAGCGCCCCAGTCGAGGTAAGCCGGCGCCCCTTCGGTCGCCCTAGCACGTGCCCAGGTCGCTCGCGGCAGGTAGGGACGTCCCTCGCCGTCGGGTCCCTCCCCCGCAATGGCCTGTTGTCGCTCCCGCCCCCGCCGCCCGCTCGTTAAAGAGCGGATTCCATGGAAAAACTCATTTCCGTCGCCACATCCTGAACAGTCGGCCGTATCGCCAGTAAACCTTCCGTCCGCAAGCTGCCGGATCGCCTTCCGCGTCCGGCTCGCCGCTTCCGGCGAGCTTCCTGAACCGGAGGCGCCCCGGCAAAGAAACGCACGTGGCGCGTGGGCGGCGGTCGCTGCGGTCAGGTGGTCGCCGGATGGCGGACTGATTGGCCGTTGCGTGGCCCGGAAGTGGTCACATGACCATTACGGGCCGGAAGGTCACTGGTTGACCCGACCGCCCGTCGATTGCGTTATGTCGCGTTAGCAAGGTGGGAACAGGATTTAATAGCGGGATATGCATACTCTCATCTGGTTGAATCTGAGTGGCAGACCACTTTGCTGGAACCAGCGCTTCAGATCATTCCAAAATATTTATGTACATAGCCTGATATGACCTGATCTCCATTTCGCTTAAGTGAAGCACGTTGAAGTGATTGTATGCAGCTATAACGCACGACTGTACAGCTGTCTGACTATTTTATAGTTAAGTTATTGATAGACGACGCTGCCCTAGACAGGGGTGAATATGGTGAACTTTGCTGATGGCAAACGCCGCTAAGATTATGATTAATATAAAAATATAACTCAAAACCACGCGTGCCTGAAAAAGTGGCCTAAAATATGATTTTTAAATTGGGGACACTTTCATCCCCTGCAATGCCTGATAACTGCCGGACCACCGGAACATCCCTGAGTTGCAACTACTTCATGAAACTTGGTAAGGTGATATAGGAGTACAGAAGACATGTACTTGTAACAGTAAACTACCAACGGCACATGCGAAAATGGACAAGGTGTTCATAACGTACAAAATCAGCAGTGACATAACATGGTAGATGTCGCTCAAACACCCCGTCCTATTTTTGCAGGCGTTATAGGTTCACAGCCTTTTAGTTTGTCCGTACGGATAGCGCGACTTTGTCACCTCGCTGCGCATCTGTCTTCGGAACCATGTGTTCAGTTTACCTGGGCCTGATTCAGTGCATCCAGCCAGTTTAACCAAATCTCAAACGCCCACAGTTGGGCGCAGCCCCCGGCAGGCTCAGTGTCTCCAGACCTCAAATGTCCTGTGTTTTACAGCTAAACGATAAACGCTGCTTTCAGCCATTGAAAAGAAAAGATCCATTTTGGAGCATTCACATTTCGCCACTTGGTTGTGGACTTCTTTGGGAGCATATCGCCACGCTGGTATCGATTTTATGACACAGCGTAATTAGCGGGTGACATTGTCAGTCTTGCAATGGCCTTCCCCAAGCCGAGTCAGTGGCCGACCACACCGAGTCAGTAGCCGTCCGCACCGAGTCAGTAGCCGTCCGCACCGAGTCAGCAGTCGCCACCCACGCCGAGTCAGTGGCTGCCCATACCGATCCAGTGGCCGCCATACCGAGTCAGTGGCCGCTCATATCGAGTCATTAGCCGCCCACACCGAGTCTGTGGCCGCCCATTCGAGTCACTGGCCGCCCACACCGAGTCAGTGGCCGCTCATATCGAGTCATTGGCCGCCCACGTCGATGACGCTTTCGTCGTCCTCGCACTCGGCCCGCGCGAACGTGGTCCTCATTCAAATTGTGATCACAATATTGATGGGCGCAGTGCTATGACATGCGTGACTCGGGTGGTTTCAGCGCAACCATGCAGCGGCTAATTTTCTCTGATGCACCGGGCATACACCGTTGTCGATTCAGGTGATGCAAGTGTTAAAATAGCACAATGTCAGCTGCGCAACGGAGATGTCTTTCTGGTATAATGGGTGCAGCGTCGTGGTGCGGCTTCCTATAAAGGGAGTATGCCACCTCTTTGTACTTTTCACTTATCGTTACATCCGACGCGTACAATTTGATCAGTCATACCAGTTTGCCTGCATCCTTCTGAAGAGCTAAGAATGTCTATTCGAGGTAGCAAGCCCTGCGGTAGAAATATCATTTGACTCCCTGTTCACCACTATAAGAGTAACACATTTCATTTGCCTTTTGCAGCGTTTGTCACACACTCATATGTCGAAATAGTTACGTAATGAATGCTACGAAAGCTTACAACGATCCGCTTAGTCAACAAGATTTGTGAATACCAAGCTATTTCCCCTCGAATTCAACGAAACCTAAGACTATGACTTTGATCTATCCCTTATGGCGTTTACCACAGTGGCATAGTGGTAAACGCATGGCATGTTAGAAAAGGAGGTGCACATTGATTTTGGGAGCGGGAGTGTCACACGATTCATGTGACCTACTGGTTTAAACTTCAACCAACCAACTTCTCGGCAACGGGCCTTACCCGCTGGGCCACCATAAACTTTTTAATTCGCACAAGTAGGGATGCGCATGGTCGTTGTCATGACGACGGTAGTCGGGACTGCAGAAAAGAAGCGTGGTGCTGTTACAAGGCGTTGGCAGCATAATTTGAACTCAAAATGATGAAAATGTAGTTCTTATTATGTTTTGACGGTGGTGCAGTGGTGCGACGCAGTGCTGTCATTAGGCTAACTAGTCATGAGCTTTCACCATATCATGTTTTTTGAAATATGCCCCATCGGTAGGACACTTACTTTAACCCGTCCTCTCTCGATCATGCCGGGGACAAATCGCTCTTTTACAACACATGCGCAGCTCCCTCACAACGAGGTTGTCGCGCAGAGTTGAAGAGCGTGCTGCTCTCGGAAACCTGCAGACTTCACCAGACATGTCGCTTCGGTGTCAGCCTTATGGAGCCAATTAGTTGACATGCTGTGGATGCGCTGTTCCAGCATATAGGATCTTTCACGTCCCTGACAACTGTTAGGAAGTGTCCGTTGATGAATTGGAGATAAATCCCATACAAAAAAAATGTGAAAATTGTGAGCAGAAATATGCTCGTCTTGCCTGCCACCACCATGCCAGGCTAGTGTGGTCTTTGTGGTGGTCACGAACTTGACGCCTGTTCATAAAACAGCCTCTTTATGTCAGGACGATGGTAAAAGGGGATGCCATGTTGATGTGAATCACGCCAGCTAAATGATAGGAGGCAGGTTAGGTCGACAAGTTTGGTAAGCCGGGTGAGCTAATAATGCAACAAAGATGTGCAGGCAAAGGCGATATGACTATGGTCTCTGAAAGCGCACATGAGAGAGCCGAAATAAGATTGTTCCATTTTTTTTTGGGGGGGGGGCAAACACCTAAGCTCTAATTTTTTGAAATCGTAGATTTTTTAGCTAGACCCCTGCTCTTTGCACATTTCACCTAAATGTCCCATTATATCGTACGAGAAAACATTCTAACACAACATTGCATTGGTTTGTCACATTCTATTGGAGACAGTTGCAGTAAAAAATAATGTCCATTGAGTAAGTGCTATTACAAAGCAGAGCTGACATGGAAGAAATAATTGTCGTGAATATTTTCACCATTACAACAAGCGACAACAGTGACGATGCTCACTTGGTCACGCATCCCATTCTACACAGTTCCGTAGCACTAATAAGGTTTTGCACCAGGTGTGTAGTTTCATAAAAAGATGGAGCTAAGCGAGAAAATTGTAAATCCACCACAGAAAGCACAACAAACAGGCCAAGAAAGCTTTTGTCCTGTTTGAATTTTAGTATCAAAGTGTGCATACTTCTCTGTCATAAAAGGTAGCTACGCGATGCATTTGAATACACTTGTCAAGCTATTGTGATATATTTCGAAAAGTTGCCGCTGGAAAGTGTAAACCTGTACTTGTCATTTCAAGAAGCAGGGCCTTTTCAATCGTTTACGCGGGAGAGATGACTGCCTCGACCCCACACTTCTTCAGCACGAGATGTGGCTTCACCATCCTTGCGTTAAATCAAAACGCAATTATTCGACGAGAAACAAACCATAAATGCTCGGCAACGCGAAAGGAGCCACTGCCGACCCTTTGAAACCTAGCCTCAGCGTTAAGAATATGTTGCCCAGTGTTCGTGCCCGCCGGGCGTTATTCACAGCATGTCTACGTCGTGCTTATTCCACGCCCTGACACTATATCATGTGGCCACATAAAAGCAGCCCGGCCCATTGAAGCAAACACGACACGCACGTTTGTGGAAGACGGAGTGGGTAACAGCCTCATGATTGATGAAAGGAGCAATTATGTGAAAGAGAGTTCTCCCGATTCATGCGCAGGTTGGCCTTTTTGATATGACGTATTTCGTCGCATGATACTGATGAGGATTATGAGTGGAAAGATGATTGTAAATACCAAGCACACTTGGAAAAGTGTTGCAAGGTATGATGACGATATGAAATGCAATATAAACTCTTCGCAGTTTTCGGATGGATGATATATCTGCCTACCCAATGGAATCGAAACATGGCGTAACAATAGCTTCACAATCACTCAGGCATATACTGTATTTGTAATTATGGACGTAGGCTGTGATGCGTAGTGTTTGTGCAGATAATATCTATGGACCTTTTGCCCAGTAACTGGTAGTTTCACATCATTGCTTCAAAAGTCACACTACTCACACATTAGCTTCAAATTGTTACGCGATTCTGTTATTTCGATGTGGCTTTGGACATGTTATGTGTCAGGGATCTGAGGCAAGCATGTGTTCAAACACCTGCCGCAAAACATGCGAAAACTCTGAATAGATTGGGTTTACCACAGAGGTTAGCAACCCTGAACTTGGATACCTGAAATGTTTGCCTGTGGGGGTCAGAGAAGGGGGGTCAGGGGAGGGGGGTCAGAGGGGGGGGGGGGTCAGGGGAGGGGGTCATGGTATGCCATCTGTAAGTATCAGAGGCCGCACTTAGGCCACACATGGCTGGTACATGAACGCTGCTCCAGGTAAACAGGGCATCACGAATGTGCAGAATGAGGCGTGAATGAGGAATGAAGGGCGGACGAGTCTGTGAGCACTGTTTCATGGGTTTGGGCCCGCGAGCACTATTGCATGGGCGCCAGGGTAAAACTGCAGTACGCGTTTGTTTGCGACACTTCGCTGCGAACAGCATAGAACCACAAAACTTCTCTATACATTTTGATGTATTCCATTGTAGTGTCTCAGTCTGCTGCCTGCTCACTAGCCTGTCTTTCAATGACACTGTGTGGTGAAGGAAGCTGTAGAGTGACTTGCTTCTTGTGTCGTGCCGGGGAGGAGGTTTCATACTTGGCTGGGCCGTCTGAAACAGTCATGCTTGCATGGTTCACTTCGATGACATTTATGACTCTTCCAGGCGCTGTAAGCTGTGGAAATCATAAACTTATGGCAAATGTAAATTGAGTACGTTTGCATGGCTAGGCATGGGCACATACATGCTGGCTGTGGCTGAAGGCTATAGAAAAATAAGTCACATACCGCAGCAAAACTGCGCGGGAGGCTTCGGCATCGGAACATGAGCCAGGCCGTGGGGCCCTGACCCCCAGTAGGAACATACGTGGTCGAAGTTTGCTTTCAGCCATCGGCTATTATTTTTAAGTAATAAATACCCCTTAGCAGCTCCGATGGTCTCGCCGGATTTGACAGCTCGTGGGATAGAGTGGGGCGGATGATGTCAATGCTAATCCCACACCGAATGCGATGGAGCTGCAACATGTGTCGCACGAAATAGTATACAGACAGTTGGCGTGATCAAAGAAAGTCATGAGTCGGTCATAAGCGAGACACAAACCAGACCGTGAATGACCTAAAGGTCAAAATTGACACACAGGTCACACAGGTAAATGCTAGCTCATTTCACAGTATTGTCTAATGTGTTTTGGACCACGAATCATGTCCATCATCGTCACACGTCTCATCGACGTTTATCATAGTAACGTACCTTCCGTGTGATAAGACAAGATCAACAGTGACACCAAGAACGCCGCCTTGGAGCATGTAGTTTAACGTGTATTTTCCACACTTTCGCATTGTAAACCTTTAAGAACAAAGTTTTAGCTCAAATGATTGGCATTTCGTGAAAGCAATGTGTTGTGAGCACAGCCAAGAGCGTCGTGTAAACATACACATTTTTTCCACGATGTGCTTATTTTCAATGCTGAACAGCAGTATTAAGAAGATGCGACCATACAGCAATCATTCTTTCGACATTATACTGAGAGCTTCAAGTAATCAAAACATATTCACATCTGTAAACTGCTGAGCTTTTCAATTTTGACCACAGTGTTATCAAGAGAAAGAGATAAGCCACCAGATTATTCCATTTTCAGACCATTTTTATCACCAGAAACAACTTAGAAACAGCGTCAGATGCTCCGGACTGAGAGGACGGTAGTGACCTTACGCTAGGGCTCTCATATATCCTGACAATTATTCCATTTGTTTCAATCACTGAATACCTCAAAGTCTGATCAAACGCTTGCAAGTCAGCTATGTCTTTAAATTCATGTTTGAGCTTCACGTTAAAACAACACTGCATTCCCGCGATGCTCTTGACAATATTGACCGAGCAACTTCGCGTCTTCGTCCATTGTGGGGCAGCTGAAGACCTATTGACCCTTGTTTGACTCATAAACCAGGCAATAAACAACAGAGGGCCAGCTGCTGCCATCTGACCTACGGGTCCTCCCTACCTGCAATGATGCACAGTGTTGCCAGCTGTCACTGCATAACCTCCATGTTACTCGAGAATCGTGCCCAGGCGTTGTACGGGGGCAGCGCCTGCCCCTATCTGACGTTCGTCTTCCCCTGCCCCGGGCGTCACACGAGTGCAGCAGCAGCTCCCGTCTGACCTGCGTCTCCCTACCCCAGGCGATGCACGGGGGCGTCAGCAGCTCTTATCTGATCTGCGCCTCCCCTACCCCAGGCGTTGCACGAGAGCGGCGGCAGCTCCTGTCTGACCTGCGCCTCCGCTTGCCCCAGGCGATGTACGACGGCGGCAGCAGCCCCTATCTGATCTGCGCCTCCCCTGCCCTCCCCTGTCTCAGGCGTCGCACGACGGCGGCAGCAGCTCCTGTCTGACCTGCGCCTCCCCTGCCCTCCCCTGTCCCAGGCGTCGCACGACGGCAGCAGCAGCTTCTGTCTGACATGCGCCTTCCCCTGCCCCAGGCGATGTACGAGGGCGGCAGCTGCTCGGACCTGAGCTCGGGCGGTCCGTTGGACCTGAAGCGGGGCCAGTTGATGACCTCCCGGCTGGGCGCCGCGCCGCACGCCATCAAGGAGGAGCTGGCCGGCGCCGTGGAGTGGCCCGCCGGCTGTGGCTACCGGCTGCCCAGCTGGGGCGCCGGCGCGCCGTTCGACCCGCTCAAGAGCAGCGTCGACCGCGTCAAGATGGCGCCGCCCGAGCTGGGCCGCGAGCGCTCCTACTTCAGCCCGGGCTTGTACCTGGGCCGCGACTCACTCGCCGCCTGCCCGCGCGACATGAGCGAGCAGGAGAAGCGTATGACAGGTAGGTCAGGCGCCAGCGGCGTGCTGCTGGGCTCGGCGTTAGGACGGGGCGGGGCGGGGGTGGGGGGCGGTGATTAGGCGGTTGGGTCAGACGTGGCGGCTGGGGACGATGTGATGATGGGACGGAGCGGAGGAGACACGGCGGGCAGGCCAGACTGGGCCAAAGTATGCCGACTGCTGCAGGAACAGGGTGCGAGGATGGCGAGGGTTGCGCGAGGAACGAGCTCGCATCGGCTTCAGAAGGAACAGAGGGGAATATAATTGCTGGTTTTTTCTATCAATCCAAGATGACCACCATAACTTCTGTTGGCGAAAGCTTCGACCTGAAATACAGAGGACAAGGAATATGCCGACGGAGAGACGTCCACAGAGTCCAAGGAGATCAGCGTCCACATGATAACCACCATGACCACACGACGTCCTATATACGCGCCTCGCAATGTAATATTTTTTTTGTTTTGGACAGCTTTTCAGGATCCGCTGGAAAATTTCAACGGACGCTATTAGAATCACGCCAAAGCGGCCAAACACGCTCTGTTTATCTGGACGGGCAGTAATATTTGTATTTTAATTTTTCCGCCGTGCCCACCAATTCGCACTAGTGTGAGCCGGAACGGCGGCGCAAAAGCAGCAGTGTTATTAAAACAGAACTCCGGAGGTAAAGCACGTAAGTGAAAAGTACCATAATTTACGATCGTAGCGCATGACGTGACGGTGACCTTCTATGAATCCGGTCCCATACGTGCCCCAATTAGTGGTCATAGATCAACCACATTATGTGACTACAGGGTATTTATTTCGCCACTACACTCAGGAAAAGCCGTTTTCTTCTACGGTACAAATGTGCAGTGTGCAAATCCACCGTGTTTCGGGCCTATTACGGTGCTGTGGCCGCATAAAGAACACCGGTCTTTTCCTGGCTTTGTTCGCCAGTGTAGCGGCTATTGTTTGAAGGCCGGTGGTGAATTGTGTTGGCCTTGTCGCAAGGAGGAATTGACATGCCATGAGCACCGATACCAAGTCAGCCTTTCTCACACAAGACATGATTACTCATTGAACTACGCAGCCATCACCATTAAACTAAACGTCGGCCCATGACAAAATTACACGCAGAGGAGCCCATACATGGTTTATCATCATTAACTGTCCGTATTCCCACAGGATTGGTTAGATGCTAGTCCTTGAGGTGGTTGCTTGCATGTGATGCGCCAAACCTCACACAATGCAGCACAACACAGCACATTGTGCAACACAACACAACGCATTGTGCAGCATAACAGAGTACATTGTACATCACAACGCAGCGCATTGTGCAGCACAATACAACGCGATCAAAAGTAAACAAAGAAACATTGTGCCCTTTCGGCACAAAAGAGAGCTTTCTGTGACACTGCTCGTCAGCCCCTCAGATGGTGTCCTGGTAGCTGTGGCGTTGGAATCTCTGGGAAGTTTGCGTGGAGACAGGCGCTATTTAAATCACGTTTCTGGTCATATTCCACCATGATGTTCATGCAACTGTTTGCCGGGAGTACTGATCAGTCCCTCGTTCTTCCTCAGTCCAGCAATACTACCTTGAACGACCACCAGTGTTACCAAATTTTTAGCTCGCTCTTGAGCGAAACTGATTCAGAAGTAAAATGCCCAGGTGTGCTTTGCTTCATCGCCGGTGGCGACAATGAAAACCGTCAGAGAAGTCTTGGCTTGGATTCATGCCACGGTGGAATTGTCCTGTTACACTACTTCATATGTGCACATTACAAACCCGCGTGAATTGTGTCCTGTAAGTTCGCGTAATCCGCGTAAAATCCGCGTTAGCTGTGTGCAAAGTGTTAGTTTAGGCTCCTTCCTTCGGCTTCCACGTTGCGCGTTGAAAGCTTGGCATCCTGCACCGTGCCACGTCATCACGCTCAAATGTGGTCACGTGATGTAACCGGTGACGTCACACGGGCGGGGGCGGTGGCCAGCTGTTGCAGGGCCAGCCCCGGAACCCGCCGTTATTGGCGACTGATTTATGCCGATGATCGCCGCGCCGAGCGTGCGCGGAGGTTGGTGCGGACTCGCGACACGACGGGCGTCCGGATCGGCTGGTTCTGCACACTAGAATGGCGACGGCTCGCCCACTCGCCCGCCAGTGTGGGGTCATCCACTGAAACAATGCGCCAGCGAGGTTTTTCTGTTCGGGACTACATATCTTTCTCGTAAATGGGGATTCATGCACCAGCGTTTCGGTGTTCGTAAAGGGCGTTTATTTATTTTGTTGTTGACCACGTTGAACCATGCATTGGAGCCAGGTGGGATTTCATACAGTTCGGGCATTCACTCCGCATGTCAAAATCATTTTCACTCCAAACCGCCTCTACTTATTGCAACGTCGCGAGCTATTAGGAAATACGCTTGTCACTACGCCTGTCCTTTATGACCAATAAATTGTTCCCCCTTTCTATCCCACCCCGTTTGGTCTTGACTCGACTCAAAATCATTTCAGATATATCATTCTCAAGAGGTTATTCTCCCCCTTTCTCCCTGTCAGCTTGGTTTAGACCACACATACCGCCGTTTGGCGCCACCATGCAACGGACGCGCATTATCAGCCGTTCCAAGAGATTTCGCAGCTGGGCCTCCTCATCGCCAAGTACCTCGGGTCGCAGTGCAAACTAGGCAAATAGCCGCCATCGCTCCCCTCGAAGACCCAACTGCTCGAGCTTTGTCTCAATCTGACAAGTTGGCGCGCCGTGTTCGCGCCATAATTCACGCCCGGCGGCAACAGTCGGCGCTCGCCGTGACGACGGCGGCAATGTGAGCCGTCATGGCTGGCCGACGGCGTCTGCCCGGCGGCGACGGGCCGGCGGCTGCGCCGGCCGAGCAGCCTTCCGAGCAGGGGCGCATCCAGGAGAAGAGCGGAGGAGCTCACTGGATCAGGGGCGGGTCCAGTAGAAGGATGGATGAGAGAGGCTTGCCGTGTAGGTCATGATGTGTCATCAGTAGCAAAACTAAGTGAGAAAAGGAAATTATTTGGCGCAGGAGTCTAAAGGTATACGACGTAGGAGAAGTTCTTTCCAAAAACTTAAATTCGTGAGGCGCGAGTCGATCGAAATATCGCCGTAAACCGACGCCCGGCGTTGCAGTCACCCGATGTTGGGCGGCGTCCGTCGCTGCAGGTAACACCAAGCCGTGGGAGGCAACGGACATCAAATACCTTTGCTCATAAAAGCGATGCTACCGAGCACTCCTTAAGCCGTCGTACGATACGAGAATGTCCCGATCTAAGGTCTAATATTTGAATCAGACATTGCCCGCTTGATTGCCATTTGGCGGATTTTCATGTGCTGCTGAGTATGAACTCGTACGAGTATGCTGGTTAGTATTGCTTTAGACTTTCACTTCTCTAAGACAACTCACGTGATGCAAACAAAACTGTGCATAGCATATGACTCAGAATATATTGTCTGTGGTACAAATTAATACATACAGCAAGTTCTGCAGCCTGTACCAAGGACGTAGAGAAGGAAGAGGGAGGGGCGGTAGGGCAAACCCATGCACATCTTGCTCCTTGCTGAGCCTGTGTATTCGATGCACCGGCCCAAACAGACCTTGCTCACAGACTGGAAACCCAAAACGCGTGTTGGCGGATATCGCACGGTAGCAGAAATACCGTCGCAGCTGGGCTTCACATATTGCTGAAGCTCCAGCTCCAGCCGCAGACGTCTTCGGCAGTTCGGCGCTGCGTCGCGCTCCTAGTGTGAAGCAGAAAGAGCAAGATGGCCAGCAGTGCCTGCACATTGTTCCGCAGCTCGCAGTCGCTGAGGTTTTGCAGTGGAGGCTGTGTGACTGGTCCGTGCCAGGAAATCAGTTCGCTGTACCTCACGGCCTTGAAGATGAGATGACCACTGAGCCTCACAATGATGACCTCACGGCCGCTGAGATAGCGAAGACCCTGTGCTGAAGAACGCCCTCGGGTTGCTGCTCACGAGCGGCGCGACGATCGGAACCACCTGTTCGCGCACCATGTGGTTCTCATCCCATACCATGCCCAGCAGCAGCTGTTCCGGACGGACCCAGTGCCCGTTACGCTGGAGGACTGGCTGCACCATGGCCTATGTGTGCTGCGGCAGCTCGCGGGGCAGTGCGGCGCTCGGGAACAAGTTGCGTAAGCCAAAGTCCTGGACGAGGTCCTTGAGAGCGCTGCTGGAGGTCTCGGTAAAGATGTGAACTAGAGTCGAGCGGCCGGTGTCAACCATGTGAAAACAAGAACGAATATATTAGAACAATTCGATACGAACTGAGCATCTGATCATACAAAAATAGTTGCGCCTTTTAAGTGTATGTAATTATGCCGATATCCAGAGTCCTTAATTGTGACAGAACACATATCAACAAACATGCTAGTAAGCATGAACCGACCAGCAAATGATATGCATACTACGGCACAAAGTATGATAATAAGGAAATGCTCAGCAGTGAGCACATGAAATATCAATTGATACTGGATGAGTTTTAGGCACTCATTGCTACAAATTCGAAGATAATGCGTTTTCATATTTACCTGACATGGTTCGATTGTCTGATTCGCCGCTGGGCTGCCACGTTTCGGACAAAGCCGTTTTGAACGCCGGAGGCCAGAAGGTACAGCAGCTGCTGGTGGGTGCTCAGCTGCTGAATCAGGTCGACCGGCAGGTTTGACACTTGCCCCGACCTAAGCTTGAATGTCACAACGTCCCTCTCCCAGACCTCTCCGGCACAGGTCTTGCCGATGGGTCCAGAAAAATTTCGATCCCTGGGTCGTGCCGTCCAAGCTCACCAGTAGATGGAGGAGGTTCAGCTCGTTGCCGTGCAGTTGGCAGATGAACCAGTGTACGGGTGACTCTGTGGCCAGTTCAAACGGCCAGAACACGCCGCCTATCTTTTCGGTATCGAGTGTCGTGCAATCGCTGCCGAGCACATTGATGTGACCGTCGCACTGCGGGTTCACAGAGTGTAGCTCGTTGAACAAGTACTGGGCAC